GGGGGGGGGGGGGGGGGGGGGGGGGGGAGGGGGGGGTGACCCAGAGCTATTTTTGTAATATTCCAATATAGCGTTCATCGCACTTAGAGCACGAAGTGACACTCGGGCCGCGAGGGGCCGTGGAGGTGGACGGGAGCACGCGCATATGGGATGATATGCTTCCGATTTCGTCAGAATTTAGGCTTTTTTTTTCTCGTCGCGAAATCTCTTCCCTTTTCTACGAAGGTTGTAGGATGCAACTTACCGGGGTAGAAGTCGGTGGCATCAGAGGTTCACAGCTGTGAGAAACGAAGCAAGCGAAACAAGCACGGACGCGACGGAGAAACTCGCACGAGGCGCGGAGACGGAGCGGGCGAGGCCACGGCGGAGCTTGCACTGACGGGGGAGGTCGCAGGTCTTCGCACAGGGTTGTCGGAGGCAGGGTTGGTGGAGACACGGTTGCTGGAGGCAGGGTTGTTGGGTACAGGGTTGTCGGATGCGGTGTTCGCACGGCACGAGGTTGCAGTCGTTGTGACTACAGGGACGAATTATCGTGTCATTTGGAGAAACTGTGTCGAAATGGCCGACGAATCTGTCAGATGCTTCCCCTGACTTAGCCAAGCCATTTTTTTTTGTTGGCTTTCTGAGGATTTTGAAGCAGAAAGGCACGAGGACTCGAGGAGGGCGGGAGACCCTAAGAAGCTTGGCCGGCCATTCATGGAAGCTCACGAAATGCATAAAAGCACATTGGGAGAGATATTCGGACTCCCCGACGGCTTCTGCGGCGGCGTTTCATTAATTTTGCCTTGCAATTCCTTAATAGTATTATTATTATTATTTTATCTATTTATTTTATTTATATTTATTTATTTATTTTCTTTAAGGGATGAGGTTTTTCCCTGAGAAACAAAACGGAGGTTACATACGCTTAAAAAAAAATAAGTTTCACGGGGTGTCCCACTTATCGCGGACGATTTTAATCGCGCATGGAATTCTTCCTACTTGAGGAAACGAAACAAAATTTGCACAACATTTAGACAAATTTAGCACTTGTTGCGAAGTTTCAGCGAAATCAAATGCGCCAATTACCAGCTACGAACCTCAACGTGGGCCCCATCGCAGCGGTAATTCATTCCTTCAGTTCGAACTTCTTTCTTCTTTTTTTGTCACAGCAAATGCTTAACATTTGTCTAAATATTGAGAAAATTTTGTTTAGTTTCCTCAAGTAGGAAGAATTCCATACACGATTAAAATCGTCCGCGATAAGTGGGACACCCTGTGAATAAAAAAGGCTTGGAACTCCCTCGGTGGATGAGGCGAGTGCCCCACCAGGAAAGCGTCGGCGCGACACCACTACTGCAGTTCTTCCTCTCAGAACGTAACAGTAATTTTTCTGAAAATGAAAATTCTCAAACTTTAGCGGTACTTCCCTTCCCCCGTCCCACCTGAATCGGAGGTGTCGCATCACCGAATGGTGCGGGACGACTGCGAGGAACCGAGTGACCTCCCTTCACCGAAAGCGGCGAGTGACGTCACGAAACTGCACGGTGGAGGGCGGACGTCAAGTTCGAGATCTGCTGCTGTGGGTCTGTTATCGCGTTCGCGTTCTCTGGGCTCTGAGTTGAAAAGTTCGAGGGCGAGGCCGGGAACGAGAACAGTTTGATGTTCGGGAGCTGCGACTTCTCCGTGCCAGATTCCATCGCTCCCATTCCGAGCGTCGAGAATGGGAACATTAACTCATCCCGGATTTTCCTTTTCTGTGGCGGCTGCTACTCTTGACAGACTGGCGTACATGATCTCTGGGGAGAAGGAAGTGGGGAAACCTTTGCTACGACTTCCACCAACTTCTGTGCGATACCTTAACCTTACTTTGTTCGCAAGCTCTGGGGCATGGGTTTCAACAATCACCCTGACTCTGGGTGATTCATTAAGCTTTGACATGTTCCTTGTTCGCGTTGAACAGTTGGTCAAATTCATTTACCATGTGTGGTTCATGGAACTCAGTCTCGGAGGAGTTTCCATTTATGGAGAACGTGGAGAACTTCATTGTTTCCCAAATGAATATGTTGATGTCACCTCTGTCAATGAAGGTGACAGGGTGCAAAACAGATTGCTATTGCATTTGAGATGGGCTCTTGAATGTGACATGAAAAACGTGAATACAATAAAGACCATATACTTTATATTTCATATGACTTCATGCAGTTCGACATGACAGTTATTGGTTCATAAATAAATGATGGAATATCATTTGTAACACTGGATATCATAGTATTTGTTAACCATCCTGCACTGGTGCAGGGCAGCAATGTGAGGAATGTCACCCATCCCGAGAGAGATGCTCAGTTGATCAACCGCCTGCCCTTCTTGATGATCCCCTGCATTGCAGAAGTCACCTCCTCGAGGAAAGAGGTGGTGTTGTGCACCATGGTGCCCCCGAGCACCACACGCATGGTGGGGTTGTTATGATTGAACTGGTGAACGGCCAGGGCCTCCTCGTAGGTCGTACCTCCAACGACGAAAACTATCACATCTTGGGGCCTGGTGGAAGTATCAGAAAATTCTCAACTTCACTTAATGACCTACAAGCACTTTCACCCTATAGTACCCAAGAAATCATTGTTTACAGTCTGTTTCTGATCAAAATTCTCACTTTCCTCCTAGAATAGGAGGTAAGCTTGACGGTTAAGGCTGGGGTAATAAATTCCAGGCTTTCTCTATTATTCTGCCCATACCCCTTCTCAGTAGAATTACAAAAATAGATAGGGTTGTCAGAGGGTTGTATGCATTTTACACATTATCTTTGTGCAGTTCTTTGATAATAAGCTCACAGTGAACAGCATGCATCACACATAGAACCTAGCAACCCTGCTGATTCTCCCCTCACTGATGGCACCTGAATGACAAGTCCAGTTGAGCACCTTATTGCTACCCCTCAATAGAAGTGTCAGGGGGAATCTACATCCAAGAATTTTGCTCAGGAACAGACTATACTGTGCAAACAGTGTCATAGGGAAAGGGCTGAAGCCCTTAAACTTTAGTCTAAATGCATCTAGCACCCATCTGTTCCCCAGAAGTTCTTTCTGGAGAGGCTAGATAAATTCTATCCCCCCCTTCCATTCAATCTAGCTTCTTCTTTAGTGAGATTATAGCTACATCACTGCATGTCAATTGGCTTTCACCAAATGAGAGAGTTTACCTTCCACTGATGAGAGTGCCTGGGACCAAGTACGGAAAGGAGACATCCTTGAGCCTTCCACGAAGGACCTCTTCTATGATCTCCACCAACATGGGTTGATGTTGGCTGTAAATGTTCTCCACCTGTTCAATTGTCAAGAGGAGGAGTTTAAAAAATCATACTGAAGAGAGTCCATTGGGCTCAACAGTTGCAGGGCAGCAGAAAATGTAACCTCTTTCAGAGTCTTGAAGAATCGTTTGCTGATCTCTCCAGCACTCAAAGACTTTTCACTCTGCTGTTGAACTGGAGTTCTGTATTCCAACACTGCCCAGACTAACTAAAAACGAGACGAAAAAAAGTTTCAGGTTTTCAAATGTTACACAAACTTTGAAGGGCAGAAGGAGTGCAGCTATGATGTGCATCACATAAATTGCAGGCAAGGTGGTTCAAATAAAACTTGCCTTGACGAGGTTCTCTGGGACACCTTTGGCCTTTAGTGTGTTAATGAGTCCAACAATATCATTATTGGAATGCTTCTCATATCTTAATGCATACAGCATGACCAGGCGGGCTGCATCTAAAGCTCGGAGATTCCCCTTGTTTAGCAGTTCCCGAATCTTCTGCAAGAGTCATAAACGTCCACTTTCAGAGAGAATACATAAGAAAGAGCATTTCAAAAATCAACATGGAAGGGATCTTGCATTGAGAGATTGTGAATGAGTGTCGTAGCAAGCCAGCTCCTGCTCCGTCTCTGATACTGCCAACAGGTCATGTTCCTTCACGAGCCGCGACAGCTCACCGACCACCACCACATGCTTGGTCACCGTTCCAGTCATCTTTTTGAACTGGGGGTAGTTCTCAACGAACGCCTTCATGTCGGCTATGGTGTCCAGCTGCTGGTGGTTCTGGGCCTTCTTCTGATACTCCTCCATCAGGGCCTTGATAGTCATCCCAATCTCTCCAAAATTTGAATACAGGTTCTGGAAAGAGTAAGAGAGAGGTCAAGATAATCACAGGTATAAGTAGAGAAATTATGAGGGAATACAAATATTTTGTAGAGATATTACAAAGCAGAGAGAAAGACTCACAAAAGCTAGCTCAAATTAGAGAACTAACCTCCTGTATTTGGGGGAATTCAATGGCGTTTCTTGTTTCAAGAAAATGCAAAAAATGAAAGCAAAAATAATTCAAATTTGGAGTCCATGCAAAATCAGGACCTTAGTAAAGTCAGATTTCAAAGTGAATCTCTGGTTTATCGAAGAAAACAATTTTTATTATTATAACAAGTTCATTCATCATATAAATTTATGTATGGATTTTCTATGTCCACAAAATGAAATGAAAAATTGAAAGGGACAGACAATACCGCTCTAGGATTCCACTCACAGTAGCATAGAATTCATCATGCTCAGCTGAAAGGACAACTTCTTGGAGTTCTTTGCTGATGCCAGGAACATCTGCCAAGCTCACCCTGTTGTTCCTGATTGTCAGAAGTTCATGGACCATGGCCTGGTATGTCCACTACAAAGAAGCATCAGACCAACTTCAGACTCATCATGAGAAAACTTTGGAGTTGCTGTGGGCATAGTCTTTCTTAATACCTGATTAAGAAGGGGTGTGATGGGGTCCAGTCTACGATCAAGAATGAGGAGTAGCGGAGCCACTTCACTCCGACGAAAATCAAACAGCCAGGTTTCCTTTGTGATGATATGCTACACCAGAAGAAAAAAGCATCAATGCTAGTAGAGGAATGAGAAACCTTACAGCAGATGATGCATCACCTTGTGGCATCAAATGACACTCACACGGACATGCTCTGCCAATTTTCGGGCCATTTCGGAACTGCCCTGATAGCGGATCACAGGATTCTTCTTCAGAGACAGCAGAAGAGCTGTGAGTCCTTGAGCAGAGCGAATTAGATGCTGCTGCATCCAGTGGAGGCCTAAAATGTGAAACAGGACTTTCAAAACCAAATGAAGTAACACCATTCTTGCTATAGGTAAAGGCACCATTTCATGGACAGGTTAAGGAAATTTTCCTCTTGAAAATTGCATTATGGTCGCTGGGGTAACTGAGAAACTGCTTGATTGGTTTCAATGGGAGGTCACTTATCATAGTTTGATGCCCATACCCAAAAATAATATATTAAAAATATACTTTCCCAACAATAGCTGTTTAAATGGACATGTGCTGATTTTCACATGGTTCCCATTTGTGGACATCCATGGAACTAGTTTGTGGACACCAGTTTTTGTCAACAATTATGAATTTGCATAGAATGGAAAAATATGGGCATGAGATATGTACAGCAGTTTTATTCATCTTCTTTGATGTCCTGTTAATAAATATATTTGAAAAAATTAAGGAATTCAGGGGTCTAAAAGGCTAGGTCTAAAACTAAGTGAAAATGTCCAAGTTCAGTCATGCTGATGGGTATGCATAATTTATATGGTGGCTGACAGGCATGTGCAAAATATGGAGCATTTGAGGAAATAAATTTTCAGTGTGAATTTTGTGAAATGGTGAAAAAATGCAAAACTGTCCACAAACTGGTGCCTCTACCCAATATAGACCTAATGCATCCTTTGGTCATGCTCTTTTAACAAAGGAAATCCAAGGAGCAGTGAAAGATACCAGGAATTTCTGGGACAAACCTTGGGAACAATTCTGTATGTTGAGGGAGAAGAGATGATGACTGACGGAAATGTAGTCCCCATAGTACTCCTGGACTTCTCTGACCACTTCTTGTTCATCAGCAAAAGCGAGCGTCTTTATGTCTTCCTTGCTGACGATGTTGCTGAATGCTATACGAGGATTGAAACATAACTCGAGGTCAACCATGAGATGGAGTTGAAAGCAGGTTGGACCAAATGAGGGCCTCAATGCTGTGCATCTTACAAATGTAATAAAACCCATATTTTGGGTTCCTCAACTCCTGGCATAGAAGCTCGACGTTTTCCTTCGTGGGTCGGATGAACGTGATGCATTTGAGATGCCTCATCGCCTCCCTTCTGGCCGGTCCATCCAGGCGCTCAAAGAGGAAAACTTCGCGCTGCAGGATCTCAGACTGGGCAAACACCGTGCTCACGATGCTAGTCTAAACAATGGGACAAGTAATGTGAGCTGTGAGGGTTAGATGGGAACCGTAAAGCACCAGCCCAGGCCTAATTAAAAGCGACTGACCGTTTCCTTGTCCATGAGAAGAACCTTCATTCCCGGCCCACTCTCATCGATCATCTTCCCGATGTAGTTCTTCACGGCTGCGATCACGTTCATCTTGACGAATCGAAGCCTACGTACCGCGATTATTCGACACCGGCCAGGGCCGCATCACAACAACAGCTGCATCTCAGACACTTGTCTCCCGGCAGGACACATACAATGTTTCAAGTGGGAATGGACAGCGCCATACTGGCCGTCATGGTTTCTCCCTCTTGACTTGGCCATGTTCTCATCTGCGACTCTTTTGGCCCAGGGCATTGGGATCGTATAATTTATACGGAAGCTTTGAGCGGCTGGCTGCCGCTCGATCTCTTTGGGACGCTTTGAAGTGGGTGTGTCCAACTCGCAGTGGGCGGGGGAAGGGTGGAGAGCAAGCAGGAAAAGTGACGGGAATCATTCAGTCTGACGCGATCGTGCGGAACCCTCACCTAGGCTAGTCTTGCGTTGACACAGGGCTAACACATAAGTCTCGGATTGCTATGCCTACGGGGTATTTTATGTAATGTCTACTCCCGTGGTACTCCTGTTCTATCGCACATTTCCGTGCGTCCAGCCAATGTTCGCTGTAAAATTTGGCCAGGTCTAATCGATGGGTAAGTTGAAGGTGCTCCCTAATTTTCTTTCACTTTAACCATGTAAACAAGAGGCTGTAAGGAGGAATATGAAGAGTGGAGTAGCTATGCACTCCAAAAATATTATCACTGTCTTTTTTATATTCTAAATTACCTGATATTCTTCCTAACTTTTTATCTCTTGCCTAGTGTAAGTATTATTCTATTCATGGTGCTTATGTAAATAATGTCAATTCTATCAAGTTCTTGCATTCTACTAATTACTTCACCACAGACTCCGCATCCATCGGTTTGAGACAAGGGATTCTTGCATGCAAATGGTCACACACTTATCTAGGTATCCAACAGGCTTATAATTTCCAAAATTATGAGATTGTTAGGCAAAGTATGACTTCAGACTGTTGTGGTCAAGGTAGTTCTTGTAGATTGTACCCCTAGTGTTAGCACTTTCTTACCTTTATATCATAAACAAACTTGTTAAAATGTCAAAGTTGATGAATATAAATTTGCATATCGCTGAAAAGTAGCCACTGCCAATAATTATCAAAGGAATATAATGAAAGGTTGATAGACTGCCTTCTCCTAGTCCTAGGCTATATTTGTATTCATACTGAGTGTTAGATAGAAATCCTTTTCCTTTGACAGGTTATTATAAGTTATATATGCTGTTGGTCATTTGCTAGAACGATGACACAAGAGCGATTGTCCAATCCTGGTGGGAGAGTTGATACACTCAGACTACAGGTGGGCTCTCACTGATTTTTTATATTTTAGGCTACCCAGGGGTAGCCTTAGGATCCACTAGAGACAAATATTTCCCTCATTTTGTGAACTTCAGCATTTACGAGGATGCTTGTGCATCTTTTCTATATGTATAGAGACATCGTCTCCTCCACTTTCGTTCTAGGAGAATGATGAGCATTGGATATCAGGAGAGGAGCTGTCCACAGATGGAAGCAGCGATGATGAAGAGCAAGACACGTGTGACTTTCTGGGTAAAGCTCGTTCACGGGCAAAGAAGAAGCAGGAGAAGATGAAAAAGATGTCTCAACATTCCCTGAGGCTTTTGTCAGAAGAGGAGAAAAAGATGATTTTCCGTGTTCCTAGCCTGGGAGAGGATAGTGGCTATGAAGGGCAGACCGATAAAGAAGAGGGCAACTCTTCAAAACAAGCTCAGGCTGCAGCCTTGGCCGAATCTGAGTCTCAGACTACAGAAGAACTGGATGTACCTTGGAGGCCAAAGCGGGGAAGTATCAAGCTGCCCAGCTTGGAGAAACTGAAAGAGAAACAACTGGAAACTTTTGAACACCAAGAAGAGCCAATTCCAGAGAGGACCTAAATGTGAAAGGTTCTTCCAGAAACAAAACTTCCTCTTATCTGTTTCTCAATCCTTAATATGAATTTAAATATGATGGGAGTATGGTCTTGGGCTCAATGTAATCACTCTTTGTGCAGGGAAAAATGCCATGTAAGCTTATGGTAAGATTGTTCATCTTCAAAAGCTCAAAGAAGCTTGCGATTCTCCTGCAAATGTTTTGAAGTATTGTATTCAATGGTTTTTTATTGAATGCATTTGCATAGCCCACAGGGGCAATGAGTGGGTGGTGGAAAGGAAGGGGGTGCATTCAGTAAAAAATCACTATACAATCTGTCTTGTGATTGTATGCATATAAGACCAATTAAAATTTTTATTTTTAATCTTGAATTTATGATCTCAGCTTTGTTCCATATCATCCTTATGAATTTTTTCATGAGGAAAGTAAAGATGCATCTTTGTTCTAGTGAGTCCAATTTTCAAACTCCATCATTACTCAGCAAATCGTAATTTTCTCTAGGGAAGCCATCCTATAGAATTGTATACATTTGGTAGTCCTACCATATGCTAATTCTAGGGATCATACATTTAGAGTTTTTTCCCCATTTGTGTACTATTGATCCAATGGGCTCCCATGTGCTTTTCACATATTTGAAGTTGGGAGTTTCTTGGCATTTTAGTGAAGTTTAGCCTTATCCCCAATTTTCTAATATCTTCCAATCTTATACTCAGATAGAGTGCCGTATATTCATCATCTGACTCTGATTCATGAAGATATTCAGAGAACTTTTGGGCAAATCATAAATTTATCCAGAATTAACTGCTATGGCCAATTGAAAAGTTTCACTTGTTGTACCATTTTGGTATGCAATTAGGATTTGTTTTGCATTTGAAGCTGATCAGATTCAATTCTGAGTCATTTGTTTATGATTTCATAATCATTTCAAATTGCATTGCCAGAATTGTGATCAGTGCCTCGGTACCCATGAAACTTGGGTGAGCTTAATTGAATACAGTGAAATGAAACTATCAGCTGAGAATTGAAGAATGGCTACAACATAACTATTTCTTCAGTTTCATGACAAATTTTTTTCATTAATGTTTAAGACTCAGAACTCTATATTTTCTGAGATTCCAAATTTCTCATAATGCCAGAATTAGTTTAAAGCCTTGTGATTCACCCATCCTTTGTCCCAAGGGTATTCCAAACTGATAGTTACCATATCTATTCAATGAGAGGAACTGGAAGATTCAAGTTCAGGTTGTCTGTCAGTTGCTTCCATATTTTTTAGCTTCTTCATATTAGCCAATTTTATTTACTATTTTCATTGGAATTCAGCTGTGACTACTTACAGACTTATTTAAGTAGTCCCCTTTTGGCTTGAGGTTATTTGTTTCCACTGCTGAAGCTATGTACTAGACTATTAGGTATTTAAAAAAAATCCTTTCCTTGTGTAAAATGCTCAAATAACCTAATTACCTGTAGACTTCTTTACTACCTGATTTGAGAAGTTACTTTTGAAGGTATTGTGCAAATACAGAAGATAAATTACTTTCTTAATCATCCTTCATAGATTTGCAATTATCAAGTGAGCCTTCAGTTCCCAAGAAGGGTGGAATGTTATACCCTTGTCTGCATTGGAATGATAGGACCTATATCCTCAGTCATTTCACTGGGAGCCTTAAAACTAGAGACCTACTCCAGAGGAGTATGGAGTGACATCATCAGCTACCTTGAGGCTTCTAGTCTTTTGTGAAAGCTCCTACATGAGGTGAACTTTATGAATGCAGAATACTGTTTATTTAGTAGAGCCCTGCATTTGCATTGCATTGCTCATGGATCTTTGTATGAGCCTTTTGTGAATAAGGAAGCATCCAACATGAAAACTCAGAAGGTACTGGATCTCTTAATGTCACTCCAAATTTCCATGGAACAGCCTTCACTTACTTTAATGTTGGATTCATGAATGTGTCAAAGATATGCATATCTGGCCAATTTGTTGGGTTGTTGATTATCTGATCAAGGTGACACTCCCTGTATACCAGATAGGCTCTTCTTTAATTATGCTCCTCCTCCTTGAGCATAGGACTTTATATTAGGTGGGTTTTGAACATATTGTTTATTGTTTGATTCCTCTTGTAAGGAGTACATTCAGTATTATGAGGCTATTAGGGGGAATTTTTGGAATCTCTGTTGATGTGATCAAATTTTAACATAGGGAAAGTGAGCCAATGTGACTGCCACTTTCTTAAAAAAGTTTGTGATTTTTGAGTGCCATTATCCTGTGCTGTGAGGTGCATGCTAAGGGAGCAAGAGACATGCCTTGAAAGACAGAAAAGTAATACATTGAAAATGTTTGTTGTAGACGACCCAAGAGAAGGCAGGTGAGAGAGGTGCCAATGACAGCAGTACAAAAATCAATACATGTAGCAAAGTTAAGATCCCCCTAATTGATGGCAGCAGTGCCAACTTCAAGAAGCTACAGTGGTGGATTTTATGCCCACCCTTAAACTCTCTCTTGACATTGGCTATTGAATGTGTTAAATTGTGCTTGTTGAAAGCCCTTCCCCTCTTTTTGGAATGTATATCTTGCAAAGGAGAGAACACTATTCAAGTCAAATTTGGTTTCAAAGGAAAGCTTACCATTCATTTTAATTAAGTTTAACTTTGTAAGAACTTACAAATTTGTGTTACTGGGATTGCTTGCATGAGATCAGTTTTTCAAGTTCATCTCTTCCTAAAAATCACTGTGCCTTCCTATTAACCTTGACTGAGGGGATCTCCTATGCAGAATCAACTCTGGTCAGCTTTTTTCTTGAACTTGCTTCAAAGAAGTTTAAGCTTCTTGACGAAGGTAACGTGAGGGAGAAATCACAAGACTCTCTGCTTCTATTTGACTTCAAAATTCAGTCAGACATCTTCTACTTAATGGGGATTTCGCACTACTGAAGAGCAGAATTGATCACTTCAAGAGCCAAGTGTCCTTGAGCTTCTCCACAAATATCCTCTCATTCGCAGTCAACATCAAAATGTTGGTGCGGGCTTAAAAAGAATTCTCATAGACGAGGGCAATATTCCAGTCTCGATGCCTCCCTTCAACTCTTAGATGCAACTCACTCTTAACAAAATTGGACTTTGAAATATATATTCCTTCACACTTGCTTTGGCATAAGTTGCTATTAGATTTGCTCATCCTGCTTGCCTCCTCTGACTCCTGCCTGTCTTTTGTGTCATTGACTGTAGATTTTCTTAACTGGAGTTGTAAAAGGGGAAGCTTGAATTTATTATAGATTGTTTGTGCGTTCAGGTTGTCCAATTGAATCACGGCAATATCATTTGTTTGATTACTTCCAAAATTGCCCACGTGTAATCAAAAGAACTTTAGCAATTTGATCATGGTTGTGTAATTGGGATTTTAATGTCGCCTGGCTCCAAGATGTTGATATTTATCTTGTCGATAAAAGTGGTATAAGGGAGTATATTATATGAAAACGATTATGAAATAATAAAATGATATCACCAGATTACGTGTTCTGATTTGAGAAGTCAATGGGACGTGGGATGGAATCCTGAACTGGCATCAGATGATCCATCTTATTAAGGGATCCGATCATGAAAACAGGGATGTGTGCCTGAAGCCGGATTTCAGGCCTTAATGACCTTTACAATGACCTTTGTCTCCAGGATCTCTCCTCTGCTTCGATCATCATCAACGCATTTGAATCGTTCCTCCCGCGTGACTCTCACCATTGGAACCGCCACAATGCATCATTAAAGCGGAAAACCACAATCGATGCCCATAGAAAATCTCATCAGTGCGTGAGCGAGGTGGGTCTCCCCGGGGATTTTCCGCCTCGGATAATCCAATATCTTCCGGCAAGCGGCTGCAGATCCTGTACGGAACAGCTCAGCACATCTTCAAGGTTTTTCCATGCGAAGTGCCTTATCATCGAGCTGATAAGCCGTATTTGGGGTCCCTTTCTTCTTCAAGGGGATTTCGAGGCCACAGGCTGCGGACTCATCGACTCCGAGCGAAATAAAAAAAAAATACGCACACCTGGCAAATCAGTGTATGCCGAGATGGGTCAATTAAATGAATATTATTAATATGAAATTAACCGGATTAAATTGGTCCATCTGGACGAAATGACTTTACTCAGGCGGGCTTGTCATGCGTTTCTCAACTTTTTGAACGTCTTATAATCGAAAGAAACTATCGAAATTTCATCTTAATACCAGTATGATTAATATGATTAATACCAACTAATTCATCTTATTACTCTTTATTGCTTCCTCCAAAACAAAAAAGTGAAAGCTTAAAAACTACAATTTTTAATGTAAGTGAAAAGGTTCTATGAGGAATAAACCAACTTTCCTTTTTTCGGACAGTTTTTGCAGAACATTTTCCCTTTAAGCTGTTTAATTGCATGTCCAGATCATAACTCCGTAATCGGTACCTTTTTTTTTAACTATGAGACTTGAAAGTCGTGTCTCTTCGGATGTAACTTTTATATATATATATATATAAATAAATAATTTATTTATATATATAATACGTACCTGTCACGCTTATACCCAGAGAACTGTACGTGACAGAGAGGTGTCAATCGACTCTACGAGAAGTGGTGGTTTGCCGAAAAGTGATAAATCAGCAAAAAGTTATTTTAAAATTTCCAATTATGTCCTAAATGTCTCGAAATGCCTGTAAATGCCTAAAAATGATCTAAAACGTGCAGAATGTCTTAGAATTCAGTATAACACGACGAGGTAAAACGCAATAGGTGTACCGAAACTTCGTGGAAAATATTCAAATGAAGAATAAGCGTAGAATCCAGACCCTTTGCACGTGTATACCCCTCTGATCATTCTATTTCATGTCTTGAGCTTGATTCCCGATCGAAAGGTGCTAGCTATCTAGATTGCCCGCAATATACGTGGGCCCTCCTGCTAGTATAAAATAATGACAAGGACAAGCAGAGCAATCGTCGAACGCAGAGGATTCCCTGCGGCAAACTGCGTGAATTGCGATGCAGTGAGCAGGACGAGGAAATCGCGATGTGATTTGATGGTCTGTTTATTCTGCCCAGGAAAATCGTGCGGGTTGGGGCGAATGACGCGAGAGGGTCTAAAATAGGCAGATCGATGAAGGCAAGGCGACCGTTTCTCCCGCAATTAGGCGAGATAATGAAGCGCACCTCGCAGCACGGAACCTCCCCTTCGATGATCGAGAATCGAATGACGTCTGCAGCGACGTCACACCGAGGCGAGGAGGATTCGGGGGGGCTTTTTCTTACCCAGCGTGAATCGAAGAAAGCGGAGCCGAGGAGGACTCTATGGACATTGGACAGGGATGCTTCAGCTGCTTGACGTCAAACGCTGGAAATTTTCCTATTCTAATCGTTTG